CGTCTTGATGTTTTCTAACAGGTTGTTCTACTGATAAATCTTCAATTATACTTGAAATCACTCCTTCTATAGTAGTAAGACAACCTCTTTTTGTTGTAGCTGGAATTTCCAGGTCGATCTCATTAAGTTTTATTGATGCTGTTTCAGATTTAACTAATTGACGATTTAAGTCTTGTTTATTATTAATGGTAAATGTGCATGTACATCCTTTTTCTGATATTGCACCGGCAAATTGAACTTCATTGTTACTGAACCCGCAATGCTAATCATAAATAAGAACTTGATTAGTCTTAACGTTAGATTTCCAATTTAAAAAAAAAAACTAATTAATACCTCGCAATTGAAGCTCATAATCACAATATCTCTCCAGTGAGGAATCTTTGTTAATAATAATTTTGTAATTCCCTAAATCGAATTGATTCCATTAGAAACACAATAAGGTTAAATGCAAAATAGATTGGATTTTAATTTTCAAATAAATACATTTTCACCGCAATTGACACAATAACTTTCAATTTCGGTTGGTTTAACATCATCATCGTCATCAACCACTTGACCAATATCTTGGAATAATTTTTCATGATTTTCTTCATTTTTCACTTGATTTGACATTTTTTTTTTTTTTTTAAAAAAAAAAAAAAAATTTGAAATAATTGAATTTTTACGAACGTTACGTGTCTATTCCTATTTATATCTAAACTAATCGCGTCACGTGAGATCGATGAACGACCATTTTGAGTAATTAACGTAGTGCAACGATGCATGGTAAATCGCTCGAAATGTCCTTGATAAAAATAAAACGGTCCGCTTTGAGTTGAAAGACAATTAGAAGATACCTGTTTTTATTTTTAAAGTCGGTGACACACCGGCCTTTTTGACCTGTTCTACAAATTTCTGTAGCACAATAAATAACACTCTAGATTCTTCTTTATAGATTAGAATGCATGCAGTTATGATCTGTATTTCTCCCTTCGGATTATGAACATTCTAACTCCATTTCACTGCGGAGCTAACCAAATTCTCAAGATCAACTTTACTTTATTTAATATTATTCGTTTATTTTATTTAAAAAGATTTTGAGAATTCATTATATTATTAACGGTAACACACATTATGATAAATTCACACATCATAGCCTCTTAAATAATTAATAAGTTTTGGTGTGGGAATTGTTTAAAGAAAAAACGCGTTTATAATAATATAATGAGGACATTTTAAAAAATTGTTCTCAAATAAAGAAAAAAACGTGAAATTCGCAGCGATGACATCAATGTTTTGATTTTATATAAAAATAAATATATAAATGCTAGTATAAAGAATGACGTCATAAATAAAGGAAAAGAATCGGTTTCCGTGAGAACTCGGGAATATTTTTGCCCAAGCATATGACAGATCAATAACGAATCAGCTTAGTTGACTATCAACAAACGATTGCTTTAAACCAAAAACGAAATTTATTAAATCACCTGTAAAATTTTTTTTTTTTAAAAATCTAAAAAAAAAAAAAAAAAAAAAAAAATTTATCACCCCATCAATCTTCTTTCTCCTACTTCCGAATTTTCACTTTTTTAAAGAAAATACTAACGCGTAAAAAGTACGGGTTTATGATTTAAGTATATACAAGATTTCTTACAAGTTTTTTTTTTTTGCTGCTTCTTTTCAAATATGCCATCAGAAAGAACACTCGAAATTTCTTCCAAATCTAATAAACGAAATAATTATGAGGAACAATTTTGTCAACAATCAGATAACCCCAATTCAAA